GCTGGAACTCGGGCTGCGGCACCGCCCCCGCGCCGCCCCTTCCCCGCCCCCTCCGCGCTCCGCTGCCCCCGCCTTGGGTTCAAGCCTTTCTGGCCATGCCCCTATCTCTATGCTCTGTCAGCCTCGGGGGATCCTAGAGGAGGCTGCAGGGACAGGGGTCCCCTGAATCACCGGGACAGCCTCTGTCTCACCGCCCTCCCTGGCGCTAGCGCCTTTGCCTCCAATTCCAGGAACATTTATTGAACACCTACCGCATGCAGGGCACAGCACAGAGACACACTCTTAAGGTGGGGGGAGGGATGAACAAAGGGTTGTAAGACCAAAGGATCCCCACACAAGGGACAGAGGGTAACAACAAGTGCCACAACTCTGCCCATCCTCCTCGGGAAGCTGCACCACCACCACCACCACTGTCCACACATCTGTATCCTTCCTGCACTCACGGCTACCCCTGCCAGTGCAGAATCCCAGGATGATTCAGGAGGCAAAAAGAGGGATTTGAAAGTGACACGGCAGTAGCCTCTCCCTGTATACCGGAGGCCAGTGATTGGAGGACTCTCTGGCCCTCCCTAGGAGTGTTTGTATCAATCTGAGACATGTATGTCCATTAAACACTCCCCCCATCATCCCCTCCCTGTGCCAAGACCCTCACTTATGATCCTGCTCATCCCAGACCTGGTCAGTGACTGAAAAGGTGGGAGAAGGATATATGCTTGTTTGGGATGAGAGGGTCTTTTCTACCTCCTCCTGACCTGGGATGAAATGTGTTAAGGATTTTGGCCTCTGAGCTCTGGCCTGCGGTCAGCACTCACAGGAGCTGTTTCCATGAGCAGGAACCTTTGTATCTCCCCTCCTCTGCCTAGAGCTCTCCCCTCCAACCATCCTCCCCCTTTCCTAGCCTCTACTTCCTCCCAGTATGAGTGCCCCCTTCCCCCAGCTGGACACAAACCACAATGAAGAATCATTTATGCTTTGTCAGTGCCTCCAAGTGCATTTAACCTAGAACAACCCTAGGGGGCTCAGGCCATTTTACAGATTATAAGACTGAGGTTTGGTGAGGAAAGAGACCCAGTCCAGGTTCCCCAGCTCCTCTTGTGCCAGGGCTGTGAGAATCTTAAGTCCACACTCTTCACAGCCTCAGATACAGAAGACAACTAGTTGCAGGCTTCCCCTCAGTCTACCCCTCCCCAATCTGCCCAGTCCCTCTTCCTCCCCCTGCACATACCTGGTCCTTGGGGGGTCAAGTATAGCCAGCCCAGACAATCCCCATGAGGAAAGAAGCAGACTCGGCTCAGGCCCACTCCTTGCTACTTTGGGCTCTCAGCCCTCATCCAAGCAAAAGGCCTACCTCTGGGCAACCTCCTGGGCCGCAGCTCCTTGAGTGTCCACACCCCAACGGCTGCCCCTAAAAGCCACTTAGGCCAAAACTTCATGGCTGCTCCCCTACCTCCTCCTCTGAGTTCCTGGCTGATGCTGCAGTAGGCTCCTAACTGGCTAGCCACCTCTATCTGTCTGTTTGCTTGTCCAGAGACTGACTGCCTGTCTGACTTGTGGCTGGCCTCCCTGGACCCAGCTTGGTGCTGCTGCCCCAGGAGGCTGTGAGGATGGGCACAGGCAGGCAGGTCCACCATATACCATCCCAAGGGGTTATCCTGTAGTAACCAAAATCACCCAGGACCTGCCGGACTGTAGCTTTGGGGCCATACCAGAGTTTAGGGAGGTGGCTGGATGGGAGACCATCAGAGAAGGTAGGGGCCCCTGGTCCTCTGGGTTTGAGGATCTTATTCCTCAAATATCTTATCCCTAGAACAGCTGCTCCTGGTCAGCCTTGGGCCCTTTCGCCTTCCACAGCCCAGGACGAGGCCTGTGAGTGAAGAAGGAAGCGGAAGGGAACAGAACACAGCTGGAGGGAGGGGTAACAGGGCATGTGGTCACAGCCAGGGGCCAGGAACAAACACTGCATCCCAGAATAACAAAGGAGACCTCGAAGCCAGGAAAGGACCAAGGAAGGTAACAGAGTAATGAAGGGGGTGAGTAACAAAGGAAGTGAGTAACAAAAGAAGTAGGTAACAGCAACAGAGTAAAGGCCCAGGGAAGAACTGCAGGTAAAAATTCCGAAGGGGGAGCAGGAATAAGTGAGAGGAAGCAGGATCAGTGTGGAGGGCCTGAAGTAACAGCCATGAGGAAGGGCAACCAGCAGCTCTCCTGGGCAAACTCTCTCTTGTCACTTTCTCCAGCCTCCGGCCTCGGAAGCTGTGATGGAGGCGATGGAGGTGAAAAACACAGAGAAAGAGGCAAAGGCAGAGGCCCAGGAGTGTGGACTGAAAGGTGTACAAGGGCTGTGAGCTGTTTGGGGTCGCTGGGGAAGGGTTAAGAGAGGTAAGAGATGAGGCCTGCAGCAGGCCGAAGGAAGTCAGACGAGAGGTGGTCTGGGTGATACCCACACCCCAACTCCTCACCCCACTCCTGCCACCTATCTATGCAGGCCTTGCGACAGAGGGGGAGGAGACCTTTTGGTGCCCCTCTTCCCTGGCCTGTTGGAGGGGCTTTTCTCTTGAGCTTTGAAGCCAGTTCCCTGCTCCAACTCCCCCAGCGAAGAGCAGAGCCTGGGCCTGGGCGGGGATTTGGGATGTGGCGGTGGGCAGAGGCCCGGTCACAGTTGGAAGAAGGCCATTGGTCTGACGCCCGGTGACGGCCCAGAACTTCCCCGGCTAGCACCGCCTCCCTTGTAGGCATTAATGGCTCCGCGGGATGACCAGGCCTTGCTTAGGGCCTCGTCCCTCAGACACCAGTTCTCTTCCGAGTCCGAAACTAGAGCAGAAGGGACCAGAGCGACGAGAAGAGATGAGAACGAGACCCAAAGACCGAAGGGAGAGACGGGGAGAACCGCGAGGACCAAAGGGGGGAGAGGCGAAGGAAACCCGCCAAGAACGCCCCAGGGGCGCTGCCCAGTTATCCGGCTCTGGCCCCCGCCACGAGGCCCCCCAACTCCTCCTAATGCCAGAGGCGCTGAGCGGGGCCGTAGCACAGTAGCGCAGCCGCGCAGCGCCACTTGCCGGCTTTGGGTGGGATTGCATTGACCAAGGGGTTGCCCCGGGCCCGTCCCTCTGGCTCTGACTCTGTCCAGTCCTGCCAGATGGCAATTGGGGTGAGACGGGCGTCCTACGGCTGCTTGCACTACTGGGGCACAGGGGGGAATAGGGGTGGTAGGCAGAGAAGCCGAGGCTCTGCCGAGCCTCTAATCAACTATGCTCTCTCACCTTGGACTTAGCATCAACCTTTTCAGACTGGATACCTCCAGGCGACATGAGATCTGGCCCCTCTCCAAGTGTTCCGGCTTTTGTGACCAAATATTTGCAGACTACTTGGCGGCGAGCACTGGGGAAACATCTCTGAGATCCATGGAAACAGGGATTTGTCTACCTTAGCAAGGGGAGGCCCAGGGTTGGGGCAGCCCCAAAGGAGGGGCATTTAACCGGCCCTGGAGCCCTAGAGTCTTTCAGGGTGGACCACAGAGTTGTTCTGGAATACAGAGTGTCATCAGGCTGTGTGGTGAGGGGAGGGAGCAATGAGAGTGGAGGGCAGTTCCAGCCCTGTGGCCTAGAACCAAAACACGAATTTCATCCCACCAACGGAGGGTAACCCTTTAGTGTGTATGTACTGCAGAATCCAAAGTCAAGACATTATGTTTTTTGTTGTTGTTGTTTTAATTTTTTAAATTATTTATTTATTTTTAGGCGAGGCAACCCTTGGTTGACCTCACAGATTGCAAGAAACTTGTTTTTTACGACTACAGCACCTGGTTTTCCTAGGTGGTCTCCCATCCAAGTACTAAATAGACCCGATCCTGCTTAGCTTCCGAGATCAGACGGGATCGGGCTTGTTCAGAGTGGCGTGGCTATAGACTAGGACACCATGTTTTGAAAAGCCAAATTTGGGGAGGAGCAGGGGCAAGAGTGGGCTCAGAGGGGAGAATGAGTTGATCCGAGG